CAAATACAACAAAAGTGTATATTTGTTTGAGACGTCTTGCATCGCTCTGCTTCGGATCGCGACCGTTTTTGAACTAGTCAGTGCCAGATTTCTGTACGCACCTTGGTATAGGGCCGTTGTGACAGCGTGGTTGTATATGGGGCTGAAATCTGAGATATGCACACATGTCTCAGATCAACTGAATATGTCGGAAATTCTAAGCTGAAGTGAGACCAGTAGCTTTTGAAAGCCGTTTTACTTCACCGCAATTTTGTAACGACAGTGTTGAAGAGTCTATAAATTCTTCAAGCATTTAAACTGAGGGTCGGAAGAAGGTAAACACGGATTGAAGAAGAAATCATAGTGTAAAAAACGAAATAAGAGATTCTTAGGTGAGAAAAAAAAACGAAATCAATGAGTGGATTTTGAGTGGGAATTTTCAGAAAGGAGATAAAAAGTGCAGAAATGGACAAAAACAAGTTCAGCGGCTCGACGATTGACTACACGATTAGAAAAAACTGCCCATATTAATTAGTTTTTTCGGAAAAAAATATTGAAAACTATAAAAATTGGACAGGAACAAGTGTGAAAAAATCAGTCGTACGAAATTATTATGACCGACTAGTTAGCCTCAACTCAATTTGGGACAATGCGCGCATAAAATCGTCCAGAGCATAAACAAATTGGCAACTTTCAAACTACCAGAAAATTGCAAAAAAAAGAATCGGAGGTAAAATATCTTCTGACATTTGATTTCATGGAGTCGATATCTTCAATGGGGTATAAGGAATTTTGTTAATGGCTATTTTTTCAATCGCTGAAAAATTTCCGATTAAAAAACCACACCGATTAAATATTGCTTTTTCTTCAAAACTCGGAGCAATAATAATTTATTTGTATCCCATTTTCAAATGTTTGCAAAGAATTATAAGCCAATTCAAATTATTTTACTCGATGCTACTAGAACATAATTTATTTTGTTTGACCGTTTACTCTCCGATCTTGCACCTAAATTGCTTACATTTAATTTTTTCCTAACCGTTGGCCTGTTTGAAATTTCTGAAAACAATATTAGCAGTTTTCAAATCATTAAACGTATAAAACGCGTTTTTTTTTTCATTCTTTTGTTTAAATTTTGTTCATGATGCACCATTTTGTTCATCATTTTACATTGAAAGATTTCATTTTCGACTGCAATTTTATAAACCATTATAAAATAAATTTTATACACCAGTCATAAAACCACCAAATTATGGACAGGAAAACCGTATGAAAAACAGAGAGAAAATTTTTCAAGACTGATATGATTGATACCATGAGATCAGCAGCGGCAATGTAACCAGTTTAATAAATCTGAAGAAGAAAAAAACCTTCTGTGTTATATATTTTTTGTTGTTTCTCTTCATCTTGAAGTCACAGAAAAGTTTTAACTTAGTTCAAAATTATCACAAAACTTTTCTCATTATATAAAGGGAACAGCTAAGAGTGCTACTATTTAGGCAAAATGTGAGCGTAAATCAAAATTTCTCAAAGACAAGAAGAGTATCCTATTGAAGGGTATCCTATAATACAAGAAGAGTATTAACTTCAACCCTATTGCATATCAAAGTATTAGTTATAAATGATATATAAAACATTAACCCGAATGCATAAATTATGTCTAGGACAACAGGCCGATGTGACTTCACGTCGGAGTGACGTCAAGCCAAAAATTAAGCTTTACAAGCGCCTCAAAACTGTAATTTTTCACCAATAAAATTTTTTTCATAAATTTTGGCAAGTTTGTTCCATAATAGGCGTTCTTCGTAGCAATGCATCACTTAAGAGTTTCATCAGATGTTTAGATTAACCGGATTTTGAAAGGCATAACTTATTTTTACACTTGGAAAACACTTTCAACAGTTTATAGTATTCCTAGACATTAGACTTCCGACAAATTTTTGATTTGAAGTCCCGAATTTTACGACTCGGCTTGAAGTGCTGTCCTCTTGATATCCGATACTGGCATGAAATATTCAGTTGCTTCAAGTGAAAATCTTATTTAGGTTTTAGAAAACTCGAACGAAAACTAAAAATTAGTCAGCAAACAAATTTCAGTCACAAAAAGAAATAATTCCGCCAAATTTCCCATTAAATGGAATATTTATATATGGGGTGGTTTTTTGTTCAGTCCACTTTTGGCGATCGAAATCATAGTTTCTTAAAAAATTAAACAAGACTTTTCGAATATCACGTCGAAGCGCTGAATGTTCCGACTGCCAATTAACCCATATCGATTAATTTTCTGGAAAAAAATCTTCAATCGAAATTAAAAATATATTTTTTTAAAATCTATTATTTTGATCGCCAAAAAGTGACTTAAAAATAACCACCCCAGGCATATATATTATTTTTAAGGTAAAATTAGGAGCAACTATATATCATTGAAAATATCGACGCCTTGAAATCAATTTTAAAAAAAGATATTTTGCCTCCGATCATTTTTTGGAAAAATCTGGTAACTTGAAATTTGCCAATCTGGTCAAGCTCTGGATTAGTTTATGCGGGCTTTGAAAGTTTCATCGTAATGTTGAAATCATAATGCAAGTTATTGATGCGTGATTACTTTTCCACACAACAAAATTGTTCCAGATTGAATTGAGGCTAGCTAATCGGTCGTATTAAATTGGTACCACTCAAGTTTTCACGCTTGATTTTTGATATTGTTCAAAGTTTATAGTTTTTTAATTTTTTTTTCCAATAAATTATTCGATATGCATCAAGGGGCAGTCGAAACATTCAGGGCTTTGCCCTGGTATACGAGGAGTCTTGTTTCCATGTATAAGTGTATAAAAGATCCAATCTTAGCCAATAAGATTCAATTAAAATGTTTTAATGTTCCGTTTTTTTGAACATATCTTATGCTTGGTGTGATTATTTTTCTTCAGTCAATTTTTGTTTTGTCAGCTAAGCGTTTATGACGAATTTTGGACGAAATTTTTCTATAGCATCTAGAAAATATTGCTGTCCTGAGTTTAAATTCAAAAAAAATGTTGTTTTACCTGTGATTAATTTTGGAGGGTTACGGGGTTTCAAAATTGATAATTTGGCCAATTTGGGACAATTAGCGTGCAAACTATTGCGTTCAAATAACACGCGTACAAGGCAAATGAATTTGGTCCAAATTAAATTGAGGCTTTTGTATTTTACATAGCGTGGGGGGAAATAAAATGAAGAAAATTGAAAAGTGCAATCGGAAAATTCAGGACTTCGCAGTCTTCATTACGGACATCACAGCGACGGAAAAAAAACAATATTTGCTGATTTTGGATCAATACCAGAAAAAAAACATTTTTTATTTTTAATCGTCATTTTATTACGGTCATAGCCAACACTAGTTCCAGGTCAAGGTAATCACATTACAGTAAAAGTTCACCCACTTTGCTCTTATCCAGTTATCTACCTCAATTAAAATTCTCAAAATACCTAAGACACGCGATCTACCTTAAAAGCCGGATCTGTTTAGTTCGAGAAGTTTGTTTTAGTTAACATTCTTCTATGGCATTGTTCCAAGTCATCGCTCTTAGAGGGGAAGAAGGAGCTGAAATTTGGTCTCCAATTTCCCATGGAAGGATATGAATGAGATCAAGGTTCTTAGGCATTAAATTGAGATAATTTTAGAGTCTACTTTTTTTGCACAGTCACTAAAAGCGAAAAACGTTCCTGAATTAGCTAGCTTAAAACATTTTTGAAAAATGGTCAGTAATAGACATTTTGGCCGAATTTTATTGTTCCGACCATTGAAAATGGGGAGTAATTTTGTATTCGCGTGTCTTTTAATTTTTTTTTCACGCAATATCAGGTAGCAGAAATAATCATCGGAATGGGTCGAGTGACATATCATGTTAAAGCCCTTTCAGTCGTGATTTTCAAAAAATTTTCAGTGTAGAGAAAAACTGATATTTGTCTAATTTCGAGTTAATACGGTGACCGTGTAGGCTTAAAAAGCTTATTTAAGCTGAATCTAAGCCGTGAAAAATTGATTTTACTCAAATAAAGGTAGTTTTTGGAGTTTTCTAACGCAATTTTGGGAATCGAAAGCTAGAAAATTAAAAAAAAATCAGTTTTTTTAAATAATTTTTCGTTTTTTCTTCAAAAACTGTTTTCAATTGACTTATTTTACTATGAATCTCGAACAAGCCTAAGTTTTTTTTGTTCGCATCTTTTTATCACATCATGCCGAAAAAAAACGACACCAATTTGAAAAAAATATATATTTGTATTTTTTAAGACTGTGGTCGGAACATTCTGTGCTACTTGCACAGTAACCGGCTATCCTTGCTTTTTGAATTTCTCTGATAATCTTGGTATTTCCGAAAACATAGGGCTACCGAAGAGAATGATTATAACGCAGTTGTTCTTTTCGTTTAGTGAAGCTTTTTTTGCGACTCGAAGGCATGAGTTGCTAACACTGTTTTATACAGTAACGCTTGGTGACACTGTTAAAGACCAAATCAGTCAGACTATGATTTTCCTGAAGCTACAGTTCAAGGGAGAGCTTGACCTCGCACTATTTTTGTGAACGCCTTTCAAATTGATGAACAACCGTACTAGCGCACTCTTTTGGTAAATTGATGATTGTGATTCAAGTTTTCTGCCTACATTTTTTTAAATCTGATGTGAGGTTTTTCACAAACAGATATGTGAAAATTTATAGTAAAAGCAGTAAGCTTAAAAAAGTCCGACAGAACATTTTGAGAGAAAAAACATACATATAAAAATATATTCTCTCCTAGTAAATTTTATATTTTGAAGTACAGAAGTTTGAAAATTTCTCCAAAGCCGCGTGTTTTGAACAACGTCTTGTGACGTTAAGAAAACTCGATTGTAAAGACTACATTATGTGCAAGAGTGGAGGTCCAGATCAGAATAAGATTGATAAAGAAATCTAATTAGAAAACTGAGTTGATTTAGAGGTATGTCAGAAGTGATTGAGAGGTTCAACTATGCCAAACATGAAATAGGATTAAAATTTGAAGTTATGCAAAATTCGCCCATAAAGTTATTTAGTAACATCTACTTCAGATATCACGCTGGAACTATGCATACAATAAATTGACCATTCAGTTAGAAAACTTGATGGTAGTCTCGGTCTTTCACAGCATGATTTTTTGATATAGATCTATTACACTCAATCAAACCATCCAAAAAGAGTTTTTTTATTAAGCAATTGAAAACCAAACTATAAAGTCAGAACAAATAAAAACAGGTTAGTAGAAATTTTTTCTGTTTGGAGGAATTGAAATCATATATGGGGGGAATCACTCGTGCGCGAAGGTCCGAATGTGTTAATATTTTGTCGACCAATCAGACCTCATAGTTTTAAAATAATCGAAAAAATTATGCAATGAATTCTGACATTTGCCGAGTTTATTGACTTCAAAACATAGTTGTGTAAATAAATGTAAATTGATTATTGGTTTGATAATTGGTTACGATAAGTAGTTTAGTTAGATACTCAGTATCAATTTAGTATTTTAACGGTTAGTCTTTAACCGAGAGTATAACAGCAAGGAAAAATGGTTACATCTAACATTGATGTAAGTAAACAAGAGAGTGGCCACGTTCAACGTGGCACTCGATATAAGCCGCTGAGTGACCTTGATTAAGATTAATGAAATAAACTGCAGAGTTACTGCACAAAAGACAAGTTGATAAAGAGGTACCGAAGGTCGCCTCACTACATTCCCCGCATGAGGAAAAATTTTGTTAAGTGGTTTGACAAAATTTGGTATGAGAAAAAATAGAATGAGCATAAGTTTAATAGCACCTCTATCTATACAAATGCCAGGTGACTCAATATAAGCAAGAAATACCGCGAGGTATAGAAGTTTAAGCAAGTTTTGTATGGTTTTATTCCCGAAGCGACAAATTCGGTCAGCTTTGGGCACTTTATAGGGCGTTGATTGGAGGCGGAGCAATAAGCAGAATGGTCCAAGTGCAGAATGGGTCCAAGAGCAGAACAACAGAACAAAATTGACTTACGTTGGTTTATACGGGCTAATTGACAAAGCAAATTATTAAAATGGTCAAAAATACCTAGAGCACGAATAAATTATGCATGAATTGAGTAATTTCATTAAGTTTTTTGATAATATTTTTTTAAAAATCTTGATTAAATTATTCAAGTTATACATAGAATATTCGTTGCTTTGTTATTATTGACATTTCTGATAATTAGGTAACCGATTAGCTTATAAAAGTTGACATTTTGCAGTTTTTCTGCTCTTGGACCTTTTCTGCTCTTAGACCATTTTGCTTATTGACTGGCCACCGCGTTGATTGGTTGATATTTTTTGTGTTCGGTCCTTCGCGCATGCGAAAACTCTCCTATTCATACGATGCGTGCTTTTCGCGATAAAAAAACGCAGATGGAAAAATTAGAAAAAAAAACGTATCAAGACGGAGCCCTGAATATCCCGACCGCCCCTCGGTCTTAGATTTTTTGCAATAATTGATTAACCAAGCAAATCTCGCAAATTCTATATTTTGGATTTTAAAAAGCTTTGTTTTGGTTAAATCACCAATATCTACCTCCTAATCCTAACGCAAACCTTACATCGTTTTTCAGCCAATAAAAATAGATTGCAGGATCAGATTATTGAAAACTGAAAAATGACTGAATGAAAAACCACTGATGAATATTTCATCTTTTTCTTCTGAATAACAATAAAATTGCAGCAGGTTTTAACATAGTGCCGTTCACTAATTATGGCTAAAAAAGTTGAAAGAAATTGATTCGTGTCATTTGGATTTCCCAGTGCAAGTTTCCCAGTGTAGAACAAAAAGCAAAAGAAAATACCCATCATATAAATTTGCTTCGTAAATTTCGAAAATTTGATTGTACAGAAATTTTCTGACACATTTGTTCAGCATTTTTGGAATATAGATGGGGGCTCCCACGTTTTGAACACTAAACAACCTAACACTATACAGTTTCACTATCTATTTTTTGTTATTTTAGCAATTTAAAAACATACATTTTAAAGCCCTTTCTATAAGGAAACCTAGTTTTAATCCTAAAATAAAAGACAATTTACTTCAGAAGGAACTTGGTAAACATCAACAAAAAGCGAGAAACTTTTTTGCCATTTAAAATCAAACTATTTCGCGCTGCTTAGTTTGCGTAAATTTTTGAACAGGAATGACCTTGCCAGTAATTCGAATTGCTAAAATGATGCAACTCAAAAACAAGTAATTTTTCAATGAACTTCACAGGTGCTCACCTCAAATAATTAAACGTCCTTTGCTTAAAAATTGCGTAACTTTTATAGACATTTCCAGGCGGTACACAAAAAAGCTTCCACTAATGCCAAAAAGTTAAAAGTCATTCAATTTGAGAACCATTCTCGAAGTTAAACCTACAACACGGTCGCTTTGCTCAGCTTTTTTTTGAACTCAAAAACTCAAAATGAAAGTAATTGCCAGCCCCTTATCTTAACTTGGCAACACGAAACCTGGCAACACGGTCGAGTTTTTTATAAATTAGCACAAGCACGTTTTTTTCAATAATCATGTTGGTTTAACCAAATTCTAATAAAAAAATGAGAAAAGCTTATCGATAAGAATCCTAATTAAAATACGAAGCCTCATTTTAGCATGTATAATTGAGATAGCTCAAATTTTATATTTTGATACTTGCCTTTTTTCCAGGAATAGCTTTGATGTGATAGGAGTTAAGACAAGGTGTTAATACGGCAACAATTCTGGTGTTAAAACTTAAATGGAGTTAAATGTTAAGTGTTTAAATTGTTTGGCAGTGAAATGATAACATAGTGAAATGTACGTTGTTCAATTGTTTGTTAATAAAATGAAGGACACCAGACTACGTCATATAAAGTTTTTGACAGAAGTTTTCAGATCGTCCTAAATGTGTATGTCAATTGCTTTTTAAAGTCCTTATTTTTAGGAGAAAAGTCACGCCGAACTAAAATAATCCTCCGCCCCTTGAAAAATTTGAAAACAATGGTTTACAGCTTAAGATTCTGAAAAGTAAGGAGTCATAAATTTCTTGCTATCTTCATCACTTGTGATAAAAACTATTACACATAAGCAAGTGCTCGCTACTGACTAATGTTAGTGTACTCAGTGTTTTGCATTTTTTACCTCTGAATGATTTCTAGGCCGTGTTTTCATGCTAGTTGGTCCAAATCGAAAGCGACACTTGCCAGATTGTGTAAGCGTTGTTTTTATTGAAACGTTGATGAAACAAGACTGCTAGTACATCATTGCAAAGCCCTGAACGTCACGATTTTCCCTCGGTGCATATCGGTTAGTTTTCAAGAATAGAAAATGTTGAAAAACTATCATTTTTGTTCAATATAAAAAAATCATGTGTGAAAAGTCAAGTTACGAAATTATAAAGACCGATAGCCTCAATTCATTCAATTTCGGGCGGTTTTGTTGTGCAAGATAACTCGTCACGCATAAATATTTCGTATTATACTTTCAGTATTATGAATTAAGTCTCCAAAGCGCGCATGAAATAGTCCAGAGCATGGCCAAATTGGAAATTTTCAGACTCCCAGAACTTTGCAAAAAGTGATTAATTAAGAGTAAAGCAGCTTTTTTAAATTCGATTTCAAGGAGTCAATATTTTTTATGTAAAGAAATGGTTTGTTAATAACTATTTTTTTGATCGCCAAAAACTGACCGAATAAAAAACACCCCAAGCATAAATAATTCGTTTTCTTCGAAAATCGGAACAACAAGTGTTCCATGCGAAAACCGCGAACAATACCTTGTGGCATTCAAAAACCAAAGACAAGAAAACTTATTAGTTTTCCATTTGACTTCTTGCAAAATATGTTTAAAAATTAGGATTTTTTTGCAATTGTAATTTTCCCCGCGCTCAACCCTTTGCTGAAATAAGTTTTGACAGTAGGAGTTTCTTTTTTGAATCAAGGCCTTTTGCTAATATTTTGTCTTTACGCACGATGTCTGAAGGAGAAACGTTCTCACTAATTCGAACTGCAGTTTCATCCTCTTTTTGAAAGTTTTCAATTTACCCACAATTTTGAATGTATACCAGTGTTGATACTAAAAACTGATTCATTATGTAAAATTTACTGTTGATTTTTGCCCATTACCTAATTGATATCATTCAAATGCTTAAGTTTAGTATTCATTTTATGTCGACAGAAAATCATTTTTATAAACGGAATGAAAATAAACTTCAACAAAAACTGGATTTGTTTGATGAGAGTTTTAAGAAACGGGATTCTCAAAGATGCAATTGACCAAAGAAGTGAACATTTTGGATTAAAATTTATCATCGCACAATTTATCGAGTTTTGAAAAAACAAGAGCTGCAAAAACTGCGAATTGAAATAATTGAATGATATGAACATATGACCATGAATTAACTCCAAAATGCTTCATTGACTGTAAAAAAGCAATCGGCCAATTGAAACTAAATATGCGGCAAAATTCGTTTTTCCAGGCAACCTTCAGACAAACATACTTCCTAAAAAACTGTTTTTGCGTTTTAAACATTTCTGAATAATGTTATTTGCTTTTTAAAATTGATTCTGTCTAACTAAAAATTTTGCAATTTTCTCTATCTCAGATAATTTTTTAGCTGAACCTATATAGTTGAAGCAATTTTCGGTAAGGTCTTTTCAGTTATCAAATTTCAGCCATCTTAAATAACCTAAAAATGCTCAATTTGGCGTCAGTCATCCAGTTTTACTCGATATAGTTCGTAAAGCACTGTTAAAAACCTAATAAAGCCGAAAAGCTGTTTTTGACACACTAGGTTGCCTATGGTGACCGATATTAACAACAACTGTAATTTAGTCTGCTGCTGTTGCTTATCTGTAAATGCCCTTACAGTGCGTACAGAACTCCAAAAAATTTGGACAGACAAAAAGTAACTAAAAAGGGCAATATGCCATATTTGAACAGCTTTTGCATGCAAACTTGAGTTTTGAGGTGACCCTGAGACATACTTTTGTCTTAAAAATTTGTTTTTACATGCAAAATTTGTCGCAAAGGGGTCATTTGCTCGTTATTTTTTTTAAATTTCTGCCTGTCCGAATTGTCCAATATCCCTTTCAATCCATGAATCTAAGCGTAGTTGAACCGCAAGACTGCTAATTTCCGTGTCGCACTTAGGTTTTCCACTGATTTTCACGCGTAACAACCTTAACAAAAACCAATCATCCAAAAATGCTGTAGATTTTGACCGATTAAATTACTCAAGGTCACAGATATTGCCAGCAGTTTGTTATAAACAAATACATTTTTTTAAACAAAATTATTGAACAACGTCTTAAGATTTCGAAAGAATCTGATCACCAAGATGAAACTTATTAAAAGTAGTTCTTTGAAATTCTTGGTTGCCGTTTCACCGGCGTTTTATGTTTTATTTTCTACTGAAGATTTGCATGTCAGGTTGCTGGTAAGGAAAATTGTTTTGAAGTTAAGGGCTTAGTGTTACATTCAATTACCGACCTCTGAAAAGTGTAGTCATTTTGGTTTGGTCTTTCGACAGCTCAAATGCAACTCTATAATTGCCCTTATATACCAAATTACTGGCAATATTCGTGACTTTGAGCAATTTAATATTACATCGGTCAAAGTTTTAATATTCTATTTGAATTAGTTTTTTGTGATCCGTTTTTAAATGTGGAACTTCGTAAGAAACTAAACAGTTTTAGATTAATTAACTTTGTTCAAATTCCTTAAAATCTTTTCGATCAACGACTCTGAACAAATTTTATTCAACCCAAAACTCATTGATCAACTTTAATCAACCTAAAACCGCTCTGAATGTAAAAAAGATTTCCGAAAAACTAATTTACTAAAAATGCTATATTTTTTGACCGATTAAACTGCTCAAGGTCACGGATATTGTCAACAATTTGGCATTCCTTTTATTACCAGAAATTTAAGACGTTGTCAGATAAAGTTGTTAAAAGCTATATAACCGTTTCGTTTTCAAGCTGTGTCTTTTAAATTTCTAGTTTAATCCGGTGGTCTCATTTAAAACTTATATGTAATTATAATTAGTAGCAAAAAGTTCGTATAGACAGAAACCGAACAACCTTGAAATTTTTTCAGACCAAATTCAAATCGCGAGATTGTTGATTATCCGATGATTATGCTAGCCTAATTTTTAAATACTGCTATGAGCATCCAGATTTTACTATAAAACATTTCGACGCTTCGGATGCAATTGCCCGCCGTGGTTATAGATTTTGAGCGAAACTCGGATCTACTTAACAATCCCCCTATTGTATCTACTAAAAAATCTCCACCCTTGTAAGTAAAAACAATAATATCGCACAAAAGCATTGTATGTAAACTCGGATTTTGCTGCATTCTGATTGGTCGACAGTTTGCTGCAAGTAACCTTAGTAACGATCTCTTCCCCTTTCTTGAAAGGGGGAGTGTTAAGTAGATCCCGTAACTCTGCTTTATGAATTTTCCACGTTATGTCTATTTCAGTTTTAGTTTCCGTTGATGTCTAGACAGTTGCTCTTTTTTAATTAATTCTGTCTGTCCGAACTTTTTGCAACTCTCTATAGTAGCAAAAGGTTCGGACAGACAAAAAATTAAAAAGAGCAAATGAACTTTTTCGGACAATTTTTGCATGCAAAAATAATTTTCAGACAAAAACTATGTCTCAATGTCACCTGCAAATTTGCGTGCAAAAATTTTTTAAAACTGGCAGATTGCTCTTTCTGTTCAATTATTTCTTTTAATTATTTCTGTCTGTCCGAAGGTTTTGCAACTGCGTAGAATATTGCAAAAAGTTGGAGCGGAAAGAATTGTTAAAACGAGCAAATGATCTGTAGTTACTGCCAAATTGTTGTCAATATTTTTTCGGTCAACGAAACTGAACGAAATTAACGAAACTGAAACATAAAACTGCTTATTTTGACGCGGAAAAAACTTGTCAAAAAAATTTTTTAGCCCAAAAGCTGAAGTTTTTGATCGATTAAATTGCTCAAGGTCACCAATATTGCCAACAATTTGGCATTAACTTTATTTCAGACAAATTGGCATTCAAAAGCTAACTTATCAAACAGTAAGTATGACTCAAGGTCACCTGAAATTTACTCTTTTTATTTATCTGTATTTGTTCTAACTTTTTGTTACTAACTATATCGGCCTGAGAAGTATTCCCCTCACATCAGATGAAAAACAACATCCGCAACAAAAATATTCGATTGCTTTAGATTTACGTGCTTTATTCGTCCGTCTCTATTCTCCTTTCGGCAAAGCAAAAGTAAAACATCTTTCAAACTTTGAAAAAATTCAGCTACAACATTTTTTGCTCCTAAATATATTTCGCTCGTGGTACGATATTGTTTGTTGAACTAGGAAAAACACAAGATGCCGACGACGTGCTGCAAGGGCCCTGGATTCCCTACTCCGAAGGATGCGGCGACGAAAGGGGAGAGGGAGAGGTTGTTGTACGTGGTGTGTGTCCGAAAGAGTGAGGGAGGGGACGAAGCTACCCCCGACTACATCGCAACTGTCGACGTCGACCCCCAGTCGTCCACCTACTGTAAAGTAAGACAAATAGAATGCAATAAAGCTTTGACATGGTTTCTGCATTTTTGTTAAAGGGTGGAACAAAATGAGGGTTGGAAAGTTTAAATAGTCGGCTTGTGTATCTTTCGTAGCAGATCACTAGATAACGCTTCTGTAACTATCTGAAATCAGAGGTCATATTTTTGTATAGTGTTTAGTTAACATAGTGCTTGTATTGTTTAGCGTAACTGAAGTTACTCTCGCAGTAAAAAATATTTCGTAGAAACACACGCACTATTTCCAGTACAATGTGAGCAAATAACTGGCCTCAATTCAAACTGTATTGACTTCAGAGAGGGTTCAAATTACCTCCAACGCGTTAAATTTAAAACCCTGAAATTTCACACTAAATAACCCTATGTGCAATAATTTCGAGCAGAAGGCATTGGCATAACACGACTGCGCGTATATCAGGGCAATGCCCTGAATGGCGGTGTATCGACTAGCATAACGCTCGACTAGCATAAAAGTTTCAAAACTGAAAATCGTATCGACTAGCATAAAAATCGAAATACAAAGTTCAATTAGTCAGAACTAAAATCATTACTCACAATATATGGCCCCCTATAAAGAATTAATTAAACATGCGAATTTTTGGATCTATTTAACAATCCCCCTATGATGCCTACTAAAGAATCTCCGCCCCATTCTGATTGCTCGAAAATTCGACCAACTGAATTTCTTCAAGTATTTCCCTCCCTAGGGTTACTAGTAACGAATGCCACCCCTATAAAAAATAACAACAATGGTTAAGCATATAGTAAACACCTAGAAACAAATCTCGTCTTTTGCAATGTAAGGGGGATAGTTAAAAAGATCTGGCCGACTTGATCTATTTAAAAATCTCTTCCTCCCTTCTTGAAAAGGGGGAGATTGTTAGATCCGATAAAGTTTGTACTTTGTAACCAATATGGTGATTAATTAGATCCAATCAGTTTTTTCATTCATTTCACAATTTGCGCGACGATCAGTCTTTGGTTCAAATCATTACAAATCGTAAAGTGGTTTTTGATGCTTAATTTCTCAACTGCTCAAAGTTCAATTTTTCATTCCAATTTAAACGCATTTTTATTGTTTTGTATTTCTGAGAAATAATCCTATAAAGTTATGCTAGTCGATACATTTTCAAGATTTCAAACTTTTATGCTAGTCGAGCTTTATGCTAGTCGAGCGGTCACCCCCTGAATATTCCGACTGCACTTTATTGTTCCGACTTTCGATACGAAAACAACGGAATATTTGTGCTCGGGGTGGTTTTATTTTTTCTTCAGACAAATTTCGACTTTTTAACTAGCCATTTTTGACGGTTTTTTTAATCATTCGAAAAGTATTGTTGTCTTGAGCTCAAATTTGAAAAAAATATTTCACCGGTGATAATTTTTTGTTAAGTTATGGGGGTTTAAAGATTGCCATTTTTGCCAATTTGGGACAATTAACGCGCGCTATATTTTACGCTATTAACGCGTAAGCGGAGAGTTAATCCGTCTTAGAAATCGTTCCAAATTGGTTTAACGAAGCTTTTTTGCCATAATGTATTTGTTATAAGTAGCGAAATCTATCCTTCTGTACTTTATATGGCGTGTGGGGAGATGATTTTTATAAAAAAAATTTCAAATTTAAAAAAAAAAATTCATTTTTTCTATTTTTAATTTTTTAATGTTATTACTGCTCCATAAACCTTAATAGGCAGTCGAAACATTCAGATCTTCGCCCTGATACGAGCAGTTTTGTTTCATAACGAATCGTTTTTGGGAAAAGAAGATATTGAAAACCTATAAGTTTTGGACAAAATCAAAGTGTGAAAATCTGAGTCGTACGAAAACATGGAAAATACGGAAAAATATGTTCAATAAGCTAGCCCTAATTCAATTCGGAACAATTTTGTTATGCGGGATAATTTGCCACGCATAAATAATTCGCGTTATGCTCACAGCTTTATGAATGAATTGTTCAAAGCGCGGATAATTTAGTCCAGATCATGGACAATTTGGCAATTTTCAAACCCCCAGAATTTTACGAAAAACTACTGGAGGTAAATTATGATTTTATATTTCAAGAAGTTGACATCTTCAGTGGATTATAAGAAATCCATTATTTCGATCGGCATTTGCTCGATTGACTGAATAAAAATGAGTTTTTTTAATTTGAGATTTTTTGGGAAATTCGTGCTAGTCGAGCGTGAATTTCCCACACGACATATTAACTACAAAATGATCGATTTCGCTCCTAGTAACAAACGAAATATGGCTTTACGAAAAATGATTACAGGTGAAATATCTTTTCAAATTTGAGCTCAGGACAACAATACCTTTCGACTAATATAATAAACTCCGTCAAAAATGGCTAGTTGAAAAAGTCGAAATATGCCTGAAGAAAAAAACATACCTCGAGCATAAATAGTGCGTTATTTACGTTACCAAAGTCGGAACAATAAGTTCCGTACAAAAATGAAAACTAGCCTGAAAAAAATCGGGCCAACATAAAATTCCGTCTCTACTTATTTTCTGATCGAAATCCTTTTCTTTCGTGTCCACAAAAATCAATTAAAAAGTCCGTAAAGATCGGTTGGTAAGGTGGCAGTAAGTAGACAAACAAAGTAGCAGTCTAGATTTAGAAAATTTTTTCCAGAAATTGGATTAGAAAAAAGAACTTTCAGATAGTCCATGCTTTATTTAAACACTTCGCAAAAAATTCCTGACCAGAATTTGAGATCGAAAAATAAGTATTTTATGGGAGAATTAAAAACTTCTAAGGTACGGGTCAGTAAGCAAGCAAAATTTTTAATACGGTTAGTTTTTATTATTTTTACCATAGTAACTCCCGGACAATTTGTCGAAATAACTTCATTATTCATAACATTGTCTCAAATATCTGTTGAATTCAAAATCACACCTGGTATCCTTTTTCTGCCAATCAGGTAGTTTTCTCAAAACTTTTTGCTTGCTGGTATGTCTGCTCATGCGGTTGTCAGCTTACTGGCCGCACACCATTAAGATCAAATAAAAATTAGTTTGCGAAGTCTTAATAACTACGATAAGTTTCTTTTTGTTACAGCAATCAGGATTGACGGCGCTTTGGTTTTTCAAAAAAAAACGTGATACAACGTTTGATATTTTTGCAATCAACGAGAGACTTGGCCATAATTAAGATAAATGAAGCTTTGAACTCGTTTAAAGACAAACTTTTTTACCGCAAGAGACTAAACTGGTCTCTAAAATGAACCAAATCAAACTGCGGTGAATTATTGGATTTACTTGATTAATTATAACGTTTTTCATGTTTTTCTAATGTCAAAAAAGACTGCTGACATCTTGCAGTACTAACCTTTGCAAAACTGTGCTTTTTTTGTTAAGTTAGGATATAGAATCTAGGACTTGTTATCCAGGATATAGGATTTTAAATTGATCCGACGTTTGATGCGCCAGCAGAAAAGCTATTATTTTGTCATACGGTTAAAACAGCATTTTTTACAGCATTTTCTAAATTATCTGAATTTTTTACGGATCAAAAATCTCCATCTATTGTCCCCTTCACCCTGATATAGTCAAGCTGGAAAGCTAATCTGGTAAAAAAAAAGATGTATTTGTCACTGTCATGCATCAACTTTGAGAAACTGTGAACAACTTCAGTTATTATTAACTCTGAAAACAATGCTCCTGTCAGGGCAAAACCTGAAACTTGAAAGTATTGAACGCCCGTTATCTTATCACCTACTGCTAGTATCACAAGACTGTTTCGTATCAGCGAAAGCACTGAATCTTAAATTGTCAAAATTCTTTTTGCAGAATTATGGTAAAATCTAGAAATGTATTTCTTAGCAACGTGATTGAAAAGATCTTAACTGTTCCTATTTAAAATCATAGTTGTTAACAAAAAAAACTTTATACCCCATCGAAGATATCGATGGGTGCATACATGAAAGGATATGTTACCTCAATTTTTTTTATAGAAGATTTTGTAAGTTCTGATGTATGTAAAGTGCCAATTTGGCGATGCTCTGGATTATTTTATGCGCAGTGTTAAAATTTTATTCAAGATGCGGAAATAGCCTGACGCGTTTTTTTAATCCGGTCTTACGAAATTTTTCCTAATTGAATTGAGGAAAGCTAATCGATCTTATAGTTGTTCCGACGTTCGGTACGAAAGTAACGGATTATTTTATTTGTGCTCGGTGGGTTTCTCTTCAGACAAAATTCGTCTTTTTAACTAGTCATTTTTGACGGAATTTTTTTTATATCATTCAAAAAATATTTTTGTCCTGAGCTTAAATTTGAAAAGATTTTTCACCTGTGATTATTTTTTTTAATGTAAATATATGGCGGTTTAAAGTTGGCAGTTTTGGCCAATTTGGGACAATAACGCGCGATATTGTTTGGGCTATTAACGCGTAAGCGGAGATTTAATCCATCCTAGAAATCGTTCCCAATTGGTTGAAAGAAGCTTATTTGCCACAATTTATTTGTTAAAAGGTACAAAATCTATTTGTTTGCAGTTTATTTGGCGTGTGTGGACGATGATTTTCATAGAAAAAATTTCGAATTTAAGAAAAAAGTTCATTTTTCTTTATATCTAGTTTGTTAATGATATTTATGTAATTAATGCTCCAAAAACCTTAAAAGCCAACGGATCATTCAGGGACTAGTTAAGTTTGTGCGACTTAAGCTTTCACAATTGATTATAATTTCCCATGTGACATAATCAAATTTTCACACATGGTTTAGTTTTAAAAAAAATTATAGTTTTTCGATCATTCGTTACTGAAAAATATTCATTCGATCTTAACCATAACGCAAGCGGAGCATTCACGGCTTTTTGAATACTTTTTGTCGTGTGGTTTTTTCTTTCTTCAGACAAAATTCGCTTTTTAACTAGCCATTCTTGTCAAAATTTCAAATTATCATTCAAAAGGTATCGTTGTTTGTCCTGAGCTTAAAATTGAAAACCAAATTCCGGGGTTTTAAAAATTGCCATTTCAGGACTATTAACACGCGACTGGAATAATTAGGGCTTCGTCATGATTCGAACAGTTTCGTTATTTTTCTGATTTGTTAGTTTCGCAGTTTTGTTGGTTTTACTGATACAGCCATGATACGATCAGTTTTTTTATTTTTCAAAGATGAAAAATTTGACCAAAATGTTGGTGCTCATGATTTTCCTTCATCAGACAAGTTTCTAGCCATTTTGGACGGGTTTGACAGATTATTCGAAAAATATTCCAATCGTGCGCTGATATTTTGAAGTATTTTTCAACGGTGATTAATTTTATACGCGAAGGATTTGAAAAGAGTGCGCTATATATAATCTACAAACGCTTGAATGACCATTTAATTAATGTCACAATAATCCTAAATTATTCATTCATTTTTTCAAATTGACTTGGGGCAAGTTTCTTTTTAGTATTAATAGGTTGATGGACTTAAATTCTATCACTTTGTGCTTTGCATAATGTTTGGTGGGAAAAATATTTTGTTCCGACTTCAAAGAAAACTGAATATTTATGCTCAGTGTGGTTTTTTTTTCAGTCAATTTTCGTCGATCGAAATAAAAGTTCTAAGCAGAAACTTTTATACCCTATTGAAAATATCAAATTCCTGAGTTCAATTTTAAGATATTTTACATTCTTTTTTTATGAAGTTCTGGGTTTTGGCCATGTTCTGGACTAAATTTTGCGCGCTTTGAAGAGTTTATTCATAATGCTTAAAGCGTAATGCAAATTATTTATGAGCGGTGAATTATCCAGCGCAACAACGTCGTACCAAATTGAATTGAGGCAAGCTAATTGGTCGTAGTATTTTCGTAGAATTTTACTCTTTGATATTGTCCAAAGCTTGTAAACTTTCAATATTTTTCTTTTCCCAAGAACTATTCAATATGAATTAAGGAACAGTCAGAACATTCGGGGCTTCACCCCGATATACGAGCAGTCTTGTTTGGGTTTTTCAAATTATCCAAAACAATTATCTAGATTTTAGAATGCAGTCATAACAATTACGGCTGTACTCTATTACGAGAGGTTTGTAGTTACGGTTTACAAAGAAAGTCATGGGATGTTTTGTCTCGTTTTTTTTCTTCAATTTTTCAACTTTTTATAACATGAAAAAAAACTTCGACGATTGTTTGTTTTGAAGTTATGGGGGATTGAAACTTAGACTACTTTGAAAACAAAAATTCAGTTAATTAACGGGCAATTTATTTTCGTTCTGACGGCTCTTCAATGTCTTCTAATTGATTTTATAAAACATGAATTCAATTTTTTTTTGTTCAAATACTTGCTTCCACAAGCTATTTCAAGTGCAGAGTGATGTTTTTAGCGTGTAGCGTATTCATTTCACCGAAATTTTTGCCTTAATTTAATTTATAAGCAATTAAATAGCCAAATTATGCGAAAATTGCAGAAAATATCTATCACGTTATTTGTCCCAAAATAGTTCAATTGGGCTCGTTTACTATCTCATAAATTTTGAGCCCATTTAAATTTTCGATAAATGATCATATGTAAATTATCTTAATACTGAGCTCCAGGGGCGGATCTAGGATTTTCAAAAAGTTTTCCGAAATTTTGACGACCTTTTTTTTTTTAGGTCGACCAAATTGACTTTCCGAGCTCTTCCAAAGCACTGTTTTGCCCCTATTTTGGCTAAATTTTTTGGGCACTTTTGACAAAATTTTGACAAAAAATCGCGTTTTTTTTGGCGCGCGCTCCACCTCAAAGTTAGTATATATTGGCGCCAAAGGCGCCTTCAGAAAAATTTTAGGGTCGGTCGGCCAAAAATGGATTTCTTAAAAAGTATCAAAGGGGGGACCCTTTGGGTCGGCAGGGGGTCGAATCCCTGAGGGGGGGGGGCGTCCGCCCCCCCCCCTAAATCCGCCCCTGGTTGGAGCCGTTTTCTCTGCAACTACTAGAGGTTCACGGTTGTAATTTTGACATAGGATTAATTTTGGCATCCGCCACCCCCGGCCACCCCCTAAATTTGCCCCTGCTGAACTCAAAGGTTTTTGTAAATGCATGTTTAACAAGGCTGATCGTATCCGCAAAACTCTGATTGTTCGACTTGCTTTTATTTGTTTGGTTAACATTTTCATCAATATTTCTTACCCGGTATAAAAAAGGTTTTCAAGATTTCAAGAAAGCAGTATTGGGCTGTATACTAGTAAGCACACATATAAGCATAAATATGCCGTCACTTTTTTCGAAAATTGGAACAAAAATATATCTGAATATTTGTCAGTCCTTCAAACTTTTCATCCAATCATGGCTTCATGCTAAAGTATAGCTCATAGATGGCAACAACCCGGTGTAACAAATTCCGCATAAAATTGTGCTATTTTGTCATGAAAATTTGTATATCAATGTAAATACTTCTCTTCGAAAGTCAGTTATTATGTGAGCTTCAACTTTTCAGGTTTAAATCGAAGCAAAATTGTTTACTTTAATCTAAATTGCGATAATTGCAGCCATCGTGACAGGCGCCGCCTTTAAAATGTATATGCAATCTAATCAACCCACATATTTTTCAGCCGAAATTGATTTCCTTAGTACTCAGAAAAAATCGGCGAGGAAAAGACTCAACTTATTTTTTGTCAGTTATGAAATTCTTGCGACTATATTCTCTTGGTCAAAAGTGATGGTTAAATTGTTTTCAATCATTATTGCGTCCTGTAAGTGACTGTTTTCTATTTTGATTGGTTTGAATTAGTGATTTTTTGTGATCGGACTGAATAAATACCTCAATAGTATTGCCCCAGTGAGAGATACGGCTCTTTTTCCTTCCCCCCCCCCCCCACCTGCAAATTTTTACAAGTAAGTTTGTTGACGACATTGTCCGATTGTTATGTAAATTGACATATAGACTAATTAGGTCATGACAAACATATTTGGTCTTCATAATCAACCTCGTAAAACTACTCGTTACACTAAAAAATTGAAGCTCGTCTGAGGTGGGGGGAAAAAGGAAAAAGAGCCAGAGATACATTATAAAAGGTGATCCATCGGGTGATGATGCCGAATGCGGATGATGAGTTGCACCACACGGGGTGGAATGCCTGCAGCAGCTGCTTCGAGGACTCCTCCCAGGCCAGAAGGTTCCTGGTGTGTCCGGCTGTGAACACCTCGAGAGTCAACATCCTCGACGTCAACACAGACCCGAGGGCGCCCACTCTCTACAAGGTCACCAATTTAACACAAAAATTGGGTCTTTATAGTGATTTTGGAGAGCTCAAACTTTTTTGAAAATCCGAAATCCTTAACACCATCACATGAGTCATATTCAACACCATATGAGTCACCATATCTATTAAATGTCACTCAGACAGTAGTCGTTATTGATCTCTCCTTATTGCAGAATTCGGTGAACCCATATGGAGAACGCGTGATATTTTCTTTCTCTGTCTGGAATAGGGGAGGTTTATAGAAATTGATTCTTTGCGGCTTTTTTTGGTCTATTGTAATTTCATCCAAAATTGAGTCTACTTTTCACTATCTTTGAATGGGAAGAAATAAAAATGACAAACAAATCAAAGGATTCAATCAGCTATGACTGTTTTTGAAAGCAGGGGCAGATCTAGGATTTTCTCAAGGGGGAGCGGATTTTCAAAAAAACTTGAGCTCTCCAAAATCACTATAAAGACCCAATTTTCACCGAATTTACTGCGCCCGCGGACAAGTTTTTAAAAAACAAGCCAAAAAAGGCATACCAAATTTTGACCAACAAATAGCGCTTTTTCTGCGCCCGCTCCCCCCTCAAAATTAGTATATATTGGCGCCCAAGGCACCTTTAGAAAAAATTTAGGATCCGTCACCAAAAATGGATAACTTTGGGTCGGCCGGAGGCCCCCCCCCCCTAAATCCGCTTCTGGATAAAAGGGCTTGCTGAGATGGTATTAAGGTAATGTAACAACTGTAAGTCGAATTTGAGTTAGTCACGCTTTGGTACGTACTACGACCAAACAGATACAGTCAAAATTAAAGCCTCACCTAATAATGTTATTATATATTGTTTGTTCATGTTCCATGTTCAGGTGGTAGGTCCTGAAGTTCTGGAGTCAGTTGACAGGACAAATCCACACACTGTACACTGTCTGGGGTCAAAGCAGGTCATGCTCAGCACCATGGGTGACAAGAAGGGAAACGGAAAAGGTCAGTGGGGTTAAGCAAGTTGTTTTAATTCAGTTAGCACATCTTCTGGCTCAGTGTTGATGCTTTTTACTGAATTTGTCTGTGTTCGGGCATTTGTGGAGTACCAGTTAGTCTAAAGAGATAACCATTGAAATAACGTTTCAACTTGGCGAGCATTCCAAATTTACATGGCGTTCCATCTATGAGCAAACATAGAAGCGTTTGGTTAATGACAAGTTCGTTAGTTGAATCATTGACTTACAATTATTTTACTTATGCTTTTTTGGCAGGGAAAATTTTTTGGCTAAGAACTATGCCCGCACCGAGAACGTGGCATGGTGGGCCCCGAATTTCTAACCTTGGCTAAAAGAGTGTTCTAAGAGACACTTCCCAATCAATGGGTTGTAATTAAAGGTGGATTTGTTCTGCTGGACAACGAGAATTTTGAATTGGACGGAGTGTGGGAGGCGGAGGGGGAGACGACTCCATTTGGGTATGACTTCTGGTACCAGCCCAGACACAATGTCATGATATCGACCGAGTGGGGAGCCATGACGTACGCACTCAAAGGATTTAACCCCGAGCATGTGGCAAACGTAAGAACACATGTGTACCACGTAACCATGCAAGTAGCGAAGAAAATTCCTCTACGTTTTTCCTGAAAATACCTATCAAACAAAACAACATTTTCTATACTAAACTAATTTTTAAAATTTTTTCTGAAATATTAAATTGAATTATTGCCTGTTAAGAAATCCTTCTTGTGATTAGCTCTACTACTAATCGCGCAAATTTGCCACCCAGTTTAAACACCAAATTGACTCCAGAATCTCAAGTATTTGGTCCTAAATAAGCTACATTGTTGATTTGCGATTTCATCAGGGCTTTTATGGTTCGTCTCTGCACGTTTGGGACTGGGAAAAAAGGACAAAGGTCAAGACGATTGACCTCGGAACCACAGATGGCATGATGCCACTGGAGATCCGCTTTTTCCACGAACCCACCCGTGCAGAGGCATTCGTGGGCTGTGCCCTCAGTGGAACTGTGTTCTACATCTACAAAGACCAGGTATCAAACTGCAAAATAAAAAACGTATATCTCATATAGTCTTATCAAATCCTTAACATCAATAAGAGCTTAAATTTTTTGCAATTGGCAGAGTCATACAGCATAAACTAGTTCATTTGTTAATGTCGATCATCTGTCGTTGCTGAGAAGTGCTTACTGGTTGATTGGTACCTGTCACCGGCGCTGACTTTTAACAATGTCTGTTCTACCTTGTTAAGTTCATTTATTTATTCAAAAGTGAAACCAAACAAGACTGCTCGTATGAGGGCGAAGCGCTGATTGTTCCGACTGCCTTTTAAGGTTTATAAAAAAATTAAAATGTAGAAAAAAATCAAATTAAATTTTTTGTTTAAAGTTTGAAATTTTTTATCCCCCCAAACACCATATAAAGTAGTACTAAAGGATAAATTTCGCTCCTTGTATCAAATCAATTATGGCAAATAAGCTTCTTTCAACTAATTTGGAACAATTTCTAAGACGGATTAAATCTCCGCTTACACGTTAATAGCGCGAAATATATCGCGCGTTAATTGTCCCAAATTGGCCAAAATGGCAATCTTTAAACCCCCGTGACTTTACGAAAATTAATCACAGGTGAAATATCTTTTCAAATTTGAGCTCAAGACAACAATACCTTTCGAATGATAAAAAAAAATCCGTCAAAAATGGCTAGTTAAAAAGTCTGAAGAAAAATTTGTCTGAAGAAAAAAAAACCCACCCCGAGCACAAATATTCCGTTACTTTCGTATCGAAAGTCGGAACAATAATCAAGAACCAGGGTCGATCAACAACTGTTGTTAATTATCAATGTAAATTTATAAAAAGAACTAAAGCTTAAAAACCAGACTGCTCGTATATAAAGGCAAAGCCCTCAATGTTCAGACTGCCCCTTAATCCATATCGAATAGGTGTTTGAGAGAAGAAAATATTCAAAAACTACACATTTGGACAATATCAAAGATTAAATGCAAAAAATTGGGTCGTGCGAAGTTAATATGACCGATTAGTTAGCCTCAATTGAATTTGTAACGATCCGATTAACTAGCCTCAATTCGATTTGGAACAATTTTGTTGTGCGGGATAATTAGTCACGCATAAATATTGTGTTACGCTTTCAGGGTTATGGATCAAAACTTCAAAACGCGCATAAATTGGTCCAGAGCATGGCCAAATTGGCATTTTTCAACCTTAAAACTTTGCAAAAAATGATCGGAGGCAAAATATTTTTTCAAATTTGATTTCAGGAAGTCGATATCTTCAAGGTTATAGCAATTCTTTAAAAATTATTTCAATCGCCAAAAATTGAATGAATGAAAAAGCACACCAAGCACAAGTATTCCGTTTTTTTTTTGAAAACAAGAACAACAAGAATAGCCAGTCACTGGGCAGGTAGCACAGAATGTTCGGACCATAGTCTTAAAAAAACACTTAATTTTTTTTTCATATGAGTGGTGTGCTAAAAGGATCTGAACGAAAAACAAGAGCTTAGGCACATTCAAAAAAACTTAGAAAATGAGCAAATTGGACAAAATTTTTGGGCAGAAAAATTACTAGATAATCAAAAAAAGTCAAAACACTGAAAGTTTTCAAATTTTATGCATTGTTTTGAATATTTAATATTTCGATTTCAAAAAAGTTCCGAAATAAAATTTTATTTGAGAAACACAAAATTTTTTTAAGGCCTAAATTAAACTATCAAAAGAAACTGTGGTAAGCCTGCTCACTCGCTTTACTCGCTCAAATTAAGACAATCAAAAACTTTGAACCTATTTTTTCTCGATACTGGGACAACCCTTTCCGATGCGTATTTGTGGTATCTGATTTTGCGTGGAAACGAAGGAAGCTAGATTACACCCGAATACAAAATTCCTCCAAATTTTTCAAAAGTTCAGAACGATCAACGTATCGCAACGCCCAGCAATGTTAAGATATTACCTGTGAAAAGAATCAGCACAAATAGCCGGTACCAACCGCAAAATTTTGTTTGGTAATTTCATTAACTTGTATCTTAACAAAATTTTGCGGTTGGTACCGGCTTTTAGTGATGTATTAGTGATCAGAAATTGGTTTCATATTCAAATTGTTAAGACCCTGTATCGACCAAACTTTCTACGCGGCAGGCGAATTTTTACCATTTTTGCTTTAAAAACTTTTTGGAAAAATTTGATAAAAAGTTGCGTTTTTATGGCGCGCTGCCCCGTCAAAATGAATATATATTGGAACCAAAGACGCCGTTGCAAAGTTTTATAGTGTTGATCAGCCACTTTTAGATGTCTTTAAATAGTACCAAAGGGGAGGAACTCTGAGGATAATCCGGGGGTCGAATTCCCGCCGCCCCCCTTAAATCCGCTACTGCTGGTACGCATACAAAGTTGCGAGATTGATAACTAATAAAGGTGTTGAACCTTAGTTTCATGCAATACAGTTTGAACTCAATTATAGCTCTGGTTTTTCATCAACTACAGCTATAGCTCTGGTTTTTCATCCGAACTTATTCCCAGGTTTCCAATAGGGCTTAATGAAGGGCGGTACAAAAGGCGGCAGAGAGATGAAAGGTTGTAAAGTGAAACTTTTTGTGGGTTTTGAAAAAAAAAGTTGCGTTATCCGTGGTTGAAATTCACAATAAGTTCAAAGGCCACAATAAATTTTTTTTTTTAAATGATGTTTGGACTTTAAATTTACACCATGTTAAAGTATAGCATATTGCTGAGATTCATTGTCAATATAAGTAGGTGAAAATTGGTTTGCAAAAAATACACTAAAATTGGTTTCGGTTAGGAAGGAGAGTGGCGAGCGGATAAGGTGATCTCGGTGGGTGCACTGAGCGTGGAGGGGTGGGCGTTGCCCCAGATGCCAGCTGTCATCTCTGACATCCTCATCTCAATGGACGATCGATTCCTCTTCTTCAGCTGCTGGATGCTGGGAGAACTCAGACAGTATGACGTCAGCGACCCATTACATCCTAAACTAGTCGGAAAGGTAGAGTTATTCGTTTAAACACGGACCGTTATTTGGTTAAGGTCTCAAAACGACAGTTTTCTTCTAGATCGAGATTTAAGATGTTTCAATGACGCTTAGACAATCTGATTTAAAAAGTCAATTACTATTCTGATCTTGTTGAACCTCAGATTCTGTACTTGTGTTTTATTATATGTTTCGACTTATAAATATGCGCTAGAATATTATGTAAGGAAGACTTAGGTAAAAGAGTAGTTCGGTTCAGGTGCGAATCGGGGGGATCCCATCATGCTCGCCTGGACTTAAAGTACTTGACGAGGGAGTGGAACCCTATGAGGAGACAGTGGTCAATGGGAAAAAGATTGTAGGAGCTCCTCAGATGATCCAGCTGTCACTTGATGGAAAGAGGATGTCTGTATACTGTTTCTTTTTGAAGCCTACATTTTGGTAAACTTGGGTCGGTTTAGTTAAGCAAAATGAATAACGCTAACGCAGCTCCTATGTATTAAAAGCCCTCTTTATCTTGAAATCGAAAGCCAACCTACTTTAGCAACAACAATGTTTGTTCTCAGGTATGTGTCCACGTCTCTCATCAGTGCATGGGACAATCAGTTCTACCCAGGCCTCTCCAAGTGAGTGAGCCATTTGAAGTTAAATAATTCAAAACTTCACATGGGGTTGATCCTGGAAGTTTTTTGTCGCTTTTCTCAGAGACTCAACCTATTTTTCACCCAAAGGGACCAAAAATTCAAATCGACATTGTCGATAGCATGTAGAAATTTCTAGAACATGGACTATTTGAAACAATTGTAGACAGATTCTGATGTTTCCTTTCCGCACCTGCTTTTTTCAATTACGGCTTTTGTTCACGATCCAGTTGTTGATAAATGTTGTATGGTAATTATACATGTCTAAACGCATTCGGTTTATGTTAAAAGCATTGAAAAACCGCCAATTCGATGTTATAAGCTATAATTTACCCCCACTTAGTTTGTTAGTTTTCGATGTTATAAGCTATAATTTACCCCCACTTAGTTTCTGTTAGTTAACTAATTTCCTAATTGCACGTTGCAGAAGACCATTTTGACGGAAAGCTTTTGTTTATAGGAAAGGGGGAGATATTCTGCAGGTGAGTGTGAATACAGAGGAAGGGGGGCTGAGATTGGACCCCTCGTTCCACGTGGATCTCAGTGGGGAGCCAGGGGGACCGAGTGTGGCACATGAGATGCGCTATCCGGGGGGAGATTGCAGTTCAGATATCTGGCTCTAATCTGACCTCTCGATCACCGGCAAAAAATCCTTATTGAACCAGAATTGTATCTGAAATACAAACTCTGAAACAAATAAATTTTCTACAATGAATTGAAATCAAAAGCTGAATAATTTACTGATAATTTGTTAATTTGTACAATAATTATTTAAGGAAAAATCCTGGTAGCTATCGTTATGATTGACACCATAAATCATGAAAAGTGAAGAAGATACTTTTCATATTAGTTCGTATATTTTATATTGTATGAATTCAATCGCAACAAAATGGTTTTTTGCACACTGTATGGAACGTATGGGGAGTTCAGTCGAGGTTGAAAACGAATGTGGAGGCGACGTTATTACTGTTCCGACGAACAAAACGGAACCTTTGTAATTAGGGTTTTTTATTCAGTCAGTCTTCGGCGATCAAAATAGTTTTAACAAGAAAAGTTATATATCATTGAAAATATTGAAGCCTTGAAATCAAATATAAAAATATATTTTGCCTCCACTAATTTTTTGCCAAGTTCTTGGAGTTCGAACATTGCCAAATTGGTCATGCGCTGGATTGAGTTATAAGCGCGAGTTTGAAAATTTTTTCATATTGCTGATAGCGTAATGTGAATTATTGATGCGTGACAAATTGTCCCGAACAACTTCGTCCTCAGATTTGATATTGCCCAAAATTGATTAATGGTTTTCCATTTTTTTATACACTAATCGATATGAGCTATGGCGCAAATGAGAAATTCAGGGCTTTTCCTTGATATACGTGCAGTTTTGTTTTGATCAGCCTTCATTTAAAAACTAATAGTTAGAGAGCATTGAGATAAATTTTGAGCCATACATTTACAGTGTTCATTGTTAACGGAAAGGCAAGAAATTTTTTAGCTAAGGGAAGGGCAAGTATTGGTATGTAGTAACTATAAACGCCATGAACATCAAATAAGAGCAACCGGGTTGGATTAAGATTTTTTTGCAATTTTTTTTGAGATGCACTTAAACCACTATAGTTTTGAAAACAACTCGAAACATTATTGTTCCGACTTTCAAAGGTGACGAATAAAAAAAACTACCCCAAGCATAACTATATATATATATATATGCTTGGGGTGGTTTTTTAATTCAAAATTCTTTTAGAAATGTTGACTGCGTGTAGGCATCGATCCTGAAATCTTGTTATTGCCAAGCGAGTATATTCCCGGATCGAGGTTCCCCAAGTTGTGTTTCAATTTTATCGACCAAAAAAGCGGTAGGCTAAAATTTGGTACGTTTTGACTTTCTAGACCGAATTATGTTTCGACTCTCTCGACTTTCTCGAAAACAAATTATACTGTGTGCTTTTCAGTTAAATTTTTGGAATGATATTTAATTTTAAAATATACTAACTGGAACCTGATCTAAACTACATTTTATGATTGGATAAATTAAATGTTTTACCAATGTAAAGTATTTAATATTAACCAATCATGATCCATCTAACTAACAACCCACTTATTTGTAAGTGCTGAAGTTACTTGTAATTTCAGCACCAGAGAGATTTGAATTTAACTTAGAAATTAGTTGGACTCTCCCGAGCACTTCAGCAGCCGCAATAAACCAGTATACCCTAGATCTATTGAGCCTAGCAGAGACTAGTTAAACAACCTGAGACTAGATAGTATAAGAGTAAGATTAGGATCGGTATTAGACTAAGAAGTTGCACGAATCTATCCGGCCGAAAATAAGATAGCGTGACGAGCAGACGGTGTACCCTATCCGAAATTACTCTATGAGTTATACACCCCGGTCATAACTCATCTGGTGCGACCATAAGTCTCGAACAAGACCTTACTAGATTAGAATTAACCAAAATTAGATTAGAAATTAGACAAAAACATTTAAAAAATGTTATATGACAATAATTTAATTGAAATGTCTCTCCGACTCAATAGATCAGAGCCAATATTCCGAACCATAATAGAACTACCCGGAATTGGAAGAAGACCTCGAACCAAAGACGACATACGACAAAGTAGAAACTTGCCGTATAGTTATATGATAGTTCGGCAAAAGCCAGAACAAACTTTTATATTTCGAATACTACTTGCAATGAATTTAGATTTCCATTTGCAAACATAAAACCTTGAAGTTAATCTTCAAAATCATTTCAGGCGCTAAACAAAATTAATATTATACAATAACGATTGATAAAAAGATCTAAGATCGTTTTCCTAAAACTCTGCAGTATTATACAAAACATGTTTGAAAAATATTTATTGGAAAATAAAAATAAAAATTAGTAGCATGACAATAAATGGTTAGTAATCATAAATCATCTTGTTGTTCCAGCTTCATCACCTAAAACATAACAGCAATCATCAACTCACTAATATCATAAAACACTAAATCTTTCCTTTACACAAATTTAAAACTTTATTAAAACTTAAAATCACTTAATTTAAAATCAGATCATCAAGGCTTATCCTTGGATCTTAAATCATTTTCTACTTAATTAAAATCTCAAATTTGATCATCAAGGCTTATCCTTGGATCAAACAGAACAATTTTGTTCTCCCCCACCCACTTAATTAGTGTCTAACGACCTCAAACGTCGATTCACTACCCAACCCTTTCTAAAGACCCAAGACTAATAGAAATTTTTAAACAAAACTAATCATTCAAATTAGGATAAACAGTGAAGAACTTCGGTTATTCATCCTTCACTTGAACCCCCCTCTTACCAGACCCAGGATAAATCTTAGACTTAGTAAGTTTAAAATAGTATCTAACGAACTACTCGCGTTCTAATTATACCTGAACCTTGTGGATCGATTTACTATTCTCCAACCCTTGAACACAATCACTACCCCTAAGTAAGATTAAGTAAGTTAACACCTTAGCTTATACTAGTCACGAGAAAGTAAAAATCATTCTTCGGAATCGATATACTTTTCTCTCCAACCCTGAACAAATAGACCCAGGTTAAGCTAACCAAAAAATCGTAAGAACTAACAGTTTAAGAAAATAGAAATCATTTAACAACCTTTGCATCCGTCATTCTAAACCTTATGTCATTTAAAAACCTAGGAAATAAACAAACAATCATTTTACACAATTGTGAAATAGATAACAAAAAATACGACCTTGTAATCACACCTCATACACAAACAGTTGGATACATTCGCACAAAACGACAAACACTAAAGAGGAAAATAATAACTAAACAAAGACAAATAACACGAAAAAGATTTTCAAAAAATCGAAACGCATTTTCAGAATCAGAAACCAACAGTTTAGACGAACTTTACAAATTAAAAGAATCAATAGATAAAAATTACCCACAACACGATCAATTATATTTTTCTGACTCAGAAACAACTTCAAATTCATCACAAAGAGGAAAAAGAAGAATAAAAAAGCAGTATAAACACAAACCAGTACATTTATACAATTGGAATCAACCAATTCGACACATTAATAATTACATATTAACAGTCATCGAACGAAAAAATGAGTTCAACACACACCCCAGGTGACGAAACTCCAGATGACGATGAAATCTTTCCTTTTATAGTAGATGCAGATACTGATAGAGGACAACACATATTTTGTCAAAATTTACTCGTAAACTTATTTGAACCCGGAATTAGTCCATGTAAAACAGAGTTCCCCGATGTAAAAATCAAAAGACAAATCATAGATCACTACTTAAAAGATATATGCAACATAACACAACAGTATGGAATCTACTCCATAGAATTCACCTCACCAAACCATAATAATAGAAAATATACAATTCAAACAGACGATCTTGATTTAGAATTTTCAAAAGTTTTTTCAGAATATATAAAAAGCATCCAATACCATAACTCACAAAGAGCAAACTCCATTTTCACTAATGAAGTTTTCGCAATAATATATAGTTATATTTCGATATTAGAAAACGAAATCCCATTAACAAATGTCTCACCGACAGAAACATCTAAACATTTAAGAGTACGACATGAAATCACACTACTCTCTAGCTATTTAAACATCATTAAAGAAAATTTCACGAAAGACGACGTTTCACAACATACCAAACACGATTTACAAAAAATTTTGGCATGGTTCATAATAGATTATTTCACACACAATATTGATTTAATTGCACAAGCAAGAAAAAATTTTAGACCCCAAAATTCGAACGATGATACCGCTATCACAGAACAATCAGATTATGTTTGGGACCCCGAATGGTCTCATCCCGCATTTATAAGCTTTCCACAATCAATCTCAAGTCAAGCAATAGGTACAATATCTTACATAAGAGATTATGTAAGAGTAATACCATTAACAATTGATGCAACACCATTAAACTATAATACATTTTTACCCGATACACAAAATAATAGTTTAAACTCTACAGTCATACACAACGAAAACCTCAATGGAACTAGGAATCTTACTCAACAAGATATCCAGACACCATCACACTTCATAAATGAAGAAATTGTACACACAACAACTACACAACAAAGTATTTCACCAATACGCCCAAATTTAACAACACCAAGAAATACAAATCCTTCACAAACACAGGTAACCTTACAATCAACCGTTAAACCTTCGGTTGCCCCTAAATATTCACATATGGATTACCAAACATACAGACCCATGACAATACCATCAAAACCACGCAAAACATTCACTAGAAACAACTTTGCAGACCATAATTATAATTATACACATCCATCAAAAACAAATTATCAACCACAAAGGAATTTTAATCAATATACAAAACCTCGAAACTGGGATAACCCAACGGCCCAATATAATTCCAAAAATTTTCAATCAAATCCTCCACAGGATCGCAGTGAAAATTACCCATTTTTTCAACAAAATAAAAATAAAAAACAAACACCTTATCAAATGGATTATTTATCCTCAGATGACGATTTCTTACAACCAGATATATTTGCACCAAATACTCAAGAATATCGTAGACAAGGAATACAGAAAACACGTACAAATCATAGGAATTTTTCTCCACAACCGATAGATGCACAACATCAACAACCAATTCAACAACAAAATCCAATTAATACACAATCTTTTCAACCAATTCAACAACAAAATCCAAGGACTGCACACTCGTATCAACCATCACAAATGCAAAATGAAATACCACTCCCATATTATCTTCAACAACATGAAATAACAAGAAACCAACTTTCAAATTTTTCTCAAATGCCAAATGCAGCAGAATCATTACAAATGACAATGAATCCATACCTAATGGGTGGATCATCAATAACATCAAAC